CCCCTTTTTTTCTCCCTTTATCCCCCTCCGCGCTCCTCTCTGGTTACTGTCAGTTTGTTCTTTATTTCAATGTCTCTCGTTATATTTTGCTTGCTTCTTTGTTTTCTTTTTTTTCTTTTTTTTTCTTCAGCAATTATGTTTATTAGTATTTGTGGCCTAATTTGTTATTAGGGACAGAATGTTATTACAGTATAATCTCATGCATTTTAACAGCTGCGTTATTTCCAGTCATTTGAGGAGTCTCTCATATTAACAGAGATGCCCTAAGCACAATAAATAGTAACAATCCATTTTATTTTAAGACACTTCACAGAAATTAGTAGAACTGTGTAGTTTAATGTAATTGAATGCCACTATTGCTCCATGTGAACTCAGCTAAATAAATATTAGTTGTAATTCTTATACAAATAATCATTTTATCAAATCACTTCAGAAACTTTTCATATGATGTTCACTGTCTTTAAAGTAATTTCTAAATATATTTGTCTTAATTTTACAGCAGATGTTAGATGGATCTCTAAATCTTTAGTTTTGACAAATAGGTATTGACCATTTAAAGCCATTTTCAATATAATTCTAGATTATGTTGTCATCCTATACTTTTATATTTCTTAAAATAAAAAAAAGAAAATCACAATATGTTGCTGTGTACATTTCTACCTGATGTTTATATTTTTTATTTTATTCTTAGTTTTAACATATAAAAAGTCCTACTGGAAACCAATAGATTCAATTGAAGGGTATTTTTTTTAATTAATTAATTTATTTTTTCAAATACATTTGTCTCTGCCTACCCCCCACCACTTTCCCTTGCCCCCTCCCTCCCTCCCTCCCTCAGCTCTTCCCCTTTGGTTTTGTCCATGAGTTCTTGCTATATGTTCCTTGACTTTCCCCTTTCCTTCCTTTTGCTTCTTTGTTTTCTTGATTAGATTCCACTTATAGTTGAGATCACATGGTATTTGTCTTTCACTGCCTGGCTTATTTCACTTAGCATAATGCTCTCCCCAGTTCCTTCCATGTTGTCGTGAAGGGTAGTAGCTCGCTCTTTCTTTCCATTGTATAGTATTCCATTGTACAAATGTTCCATAGTTTTTTTATCAAGTCACTTACTGTTAGGCACTTAGGTTGCTTCCAAAACTTCGCTATTGTAAATTGTGCGATGAACATTGGGGTGCATAGGTTCTTTTGAATTGGAATTTCAGGATTCTTAGGGTATAATCCCAGCAGTGGAGTCACTGGGTCAAAAGAAGTTTCCATTTTTAGCTTTTTGAGGAAATTTCAAACTGTTGGCACCAGTCTGCATTCCCACCAACAGTGTACTAGGGTTCCCTTTTCCCCAGAACCTCACCAGCACTTGTTATTTGTTGATTTGTTTATGATGGCCATTCAGACTGGTGTTAAGTGGTATCTCATTGTGGTTTTAATTTGCATCTCTCTGATGGCTGGTGATGCTGAACATCCTTTCATATGTCTCTGGGCCCTCTGTATGTCCTCCTTGGAGGAGTGTCTGTTCAGGTCCTTTGCCCATTTTTAATTGGATTGTTTGTTTTCCTGGAGTGGAGTCATGTGAGTTCTTTATATATTTTGGAGATCAAACCCTTGTCCAAGGTATCATTGGCAAATATATTTTCCCATATAGTTGGCTCCTTTTTCATTTTTCTGATGTTTTCTTTAGCCATGCAGAAGCTTCTTATTTTGATGAAGTCCCATTTGTTTACTCTTTTCTTTATGTCCCTTACTCTAGGGGACATACCGGTAAAAATATTGCTGTGTGGAATATCTGAGATTTTCTTGCCTATGTTCTCCTCTAGGACTTTTACGGTGTTTGTGACTTATATTTAAGTCTTTTATCCATCTTGAATTTATTTTTGTGTATGGTGTAAGTTTATGGTCAAATTTCATTTTTTTGCATGTAGCTGTCCAGATCTCCCAACACTGTTTGTTGAAGAGGCTATTTTTACTCCATTTTGTGCTTCTGCCCTCTTTGTTGAATATTAATTGACCATAGAGATATGGGTTAATTTCTGGGTTCTCTACTCTTTTCTATTGATCTATGTCTCTATTCTTCTGACAGTACTAGACTGTTTTGATTACACTGGCCTTGTAATATAGTTTGATGTCAGGTATTGAGATCCCTCCTACTTTTTCTTCATTCTCAAAATTTCTGCAGCCATTTGGAGTCATTTATGGTTCCATATAAATTTTTGCAATGTTTGTTCTATATCTGTAAAATATGTCATTGTTACTTTAATAAGGATTGAGCTAAATGGGTAAATTGCATTGGGTAGTATGGACATTTCGATGATATTAATTCTTCTAATCCATGAACATGGTATATGTTTCCATTTATTTGTGTCTTCCTTTATTTCTTTCTTCAGTGTTGTATAGTTTTCTGAGTGCAGATCCTTTACCTCCTTGGTTAACTTTATTCTTAGGTACTTTATTTTTCTTGTTGCTATAGCAAATGGGATTTTTTTCCTGATTTCTGTTTCTGATATTTCCTTGTTGGTATACAACAATACCTTCAATTTCTGAATATTGACTTTGTATCCTTCTGCTTTGCCAAATTCACTTATTAGGTTGAGTTGAGTAGTTTTTTGGTGGAGTCTATGGGGTTTTCTATGTATACAATCATGTCATTTGCAAACAATGACAGTTTTACTTCCTCCTTTCCAATTAGGATGCCTTTTATTTCTTTCTCTTGTCTGGTTGCTGTGGCTAGGACTTCCAAAACTATGTTGACTAGAAGTGGTGGAAGTGGACATTCTTGTCTTGTTCCCGATCTTAGTGGGAAAGCTTTTTGTTTTTGCCCATTGTATATGAGGTTGGCTGTTGGTTTTTCATATATGTCCTTTATTATGTTGAGGTATGCCACCTTTACTCCCACTTTGCTGAAGTCAACATCATTCTTTTAAAAACATATGAACAAACTCTTCTTTATCAGTTAAATATAACCTAATTAATCTTTATGATCCCATACCGAGTAAGTTTAAAATACTACATATAATATGTCTATCATTGTAAAACTACTTATGAATTTTTTTATCCCTGGACTAATGCATTTACTGTTGCTATCCATGAGTCAACATTTTATGGTCTATATATTGTGTTCCCAATACAATATGTGTATTCTGGAGTTTCTGCTCTGATATTTCACCCTTTCTAAATGTCTCTTCAGTCCTCTCCAGGCAACCATATCCTAGTCATTCTTCAAAACCCAGATCATCATTCTCTTCCACTTTGAAACCCTGTTTAATATGCAGCCCATTTTGGTATCTCCCTTCTCTGTACTCACATAGAACTTATAATTGGGTTGAGCCTTATGATTTTAGTAATTTTTTGTGTTTATGTCTCATCTTTCCAAATGGAGGCTAAAAAGATTTTTAGAGGCAGGGATTTTTTAACATATCTCTGTATCTTTGGCACTTTGCCTAATATGGTGCAGAATTTAGGTTCCTTGTAAGTTTTCATAACTCGTAGCTGCAAGTTAAAGAAACCCAACTCACACAAGAACTGAGTAATGAAGAAGGCCCAGGGGTGTGTGTGGCTGAGTATTTAGTCATGCTGGATCAGGTAGCTAAATTTATCACCAGGAATCTGTTCTTTTCTATGTATTGTCTCTGTTTTTGTCTTAGTTTGGTCCTCAGGTAGAAGCTCCCTAACCTGTGTCCTCTGACAGCAGAGGGAGAGCTTTCCTCCCTCAATAGATGTAGGAAAGGCCCTGGGGCTGATGCTCTTTGGCTTTATTTGGCATTATTGGGTCATGTGCTGGGCCTGAGTTATGTGTCTTTGTCTTGAGTCATGGAGTTGGATCTGCTGTCCTCTCCCTCCCATAATATGTGCGCTGAAATTGGAGAAAGGGTGGTTCCCCAAAAGAAAGGTGAGTTTTTGTTCCAGAAGAATGGAAGATCTATGGTGAGCAAGCAAAAATAAGATGTCTATTGGGGATTTCAGTAAATGTTTGCTGACTAATAAACTAAACTTTCCTCTAGGGAAAAGTCAGGTTTGTAGAGATTTTGTACTATTTTCACCCTTGTCTAAAATATTTTATTATCAGAATAATGCCATGTATCCTCTGAGCACTTCATAATCACTGTTGGAAGTGGATGTGAAGGTGGTATGATATATGACTTTGGCTTCCCAAAGATGTATCATCAGGGTTGAAAGGCTATTACTCTCTCAAGGAAGAATTAATAACTTTGCTTAGGTTTTTGAACCTTTAAACAGGCCATAAAATTCTTTTTGTGGAGGAGAGAACAGAACAGTAATAAGGTTTCTCACTGTGGATTATGATAATGACGCCTCAATAGGTTCATAATAAAACTAATTTGCATGATCAACCAGTTAAACTACTAGTTGTGTGTGTCATTTTTGGGTTCTCTGAGAGCTTTGTTGACTTCAGAAGTTGTATGTAAAGCATAAAAATGGTAAGCTTTTAAGGTTATCCTTATTTCCAGTATTAGTTTTCAAGACAGTACATTGGCTAACAGTTTCTGACTACCTATTTTGTGCATTAAGATTAGAAATATTTGAAGTATAAAAACTTAAGCCATGTGTTGGACAACTTGTCTGAAACCCAGCCAGTGAAGATCTTAATGAACATTGCAGACAAGACAGGCAAAACCAAGATGTCCATTGAGTAGTTCAATAAATGTCTGTTGGTTGATTCATTTAATATGCCTGTAAGGACAGAAGTCAAGTTTGTGTGGGTTTTGTACTGTAATTTGCCTTCGTCCCAAACATGTTAATGGCTAGACAACATAGTATATGTGATAAAAACATTAATAGTCTTTTATTATTTGAACTTTATTTAGTGTTGAATAAACCTTTCTTAGCTAGTTAAGTTAGTTTGTGTGGGGGAAGTATCAAACCAAGCATAAATAGAATAATATGTCCTTCAGAAAATAATGTTATGAAATTTCTGAGGAAATAATATTTATTTTATTCCAAATGATTTCTTGAGCAATGCCTTAATTTCATTTCTTATCTTTACTTTTCAGAAGTGGAAGATAAGCAGAAATCTACAGCTGGTACCTCTTCAAACATCCATTTGTTCTTTCGAATGTTTTAATCAACGTGGCCCTAACCTGTTTGGAATTGCTCAAGTGGTGAGCAAGTGAGACGCTCATTTAGAGCCTCATAGGACTTGCTCTGTCATCTCTGCTTACACAGTCACATTGTGCCCTAATTATGATATCATGCCCTGTCTCTTCTCCTTGTCAATACATTAGCAAAGGAGGAAAAATAATTACTCTTAAATATCCCAATTTTAGTATTATAGCCTACTGTTTAGACTCTAGATGTGCTGTTTCTCCTTTGACTTAAAAACCAATAAATGGAAAAATTAAGATCCATGAGGCAAATGAGTGTTATTTTTTCCCATCATCTTATGACCACCACCCTCCTTTTCTAGTATTTAGAGACTTTGATAGAGACTCCTTTCACAAGTGAAATTGCAAGCTTTACAATTGAAAAAGATCACTTTTTAATGTTAGGCAGTTGTATAAAATTTGTATAATTCAGTTGAGCTCTTATTTTTTAAGAGGCACTAACATCTTATTAACTAAGATAAAACCTTCATTCCACTTATAAACGAGTAGAAGACTGGAAACCCAGGGTTGGTTACTCCTAACATCACTTTGTTCCGGCTTTTAAAGTTCATTTTTATATATATATTTTCACAAATTATACTGACAGAAGCCAGGGCAGTAGAGCTGAAATGAGAATTTGGCTCTTTTTCTGTGGAGGACAACAGAAAAGTAGGGAAAGACATTATACAAATACATGGTATAGATTGCATAGACCTGTGGTATTTGGAAGTGTGTCCAACAGCATTCAGATCACTTGAGAAATTGTTAGAAATGCATATTATCTGGCCTAACCCCAGACCACAGAATCAGAAACAGGGCAGGGGGTGACCCAGCAATCTATCTTAAGAAATCCTCCAGACAACTTTGATACACTCTACTGTGTTCAGAAAAGCAAGAAATGTAACCATAATTTTACATTTAAACCCCACTAGAAATATACTTATTCATATAACTACTTGGTGGTCCTTCTGGTGGAAAGCTGAGTGGATTCTTATATTCCATATATCACCAATGTTACCTTTCTCACTAGGCCTTCTATTAGTTCACGTCAGGACATCCTGCTTTATGCATGAGCTGCCCCTAGCACGCCTGGGAAGCTAAGTCAATGGAGCACAGCCGAGAGGCCCTCAAGTCCAAAAAATACAAGAGTCAGGTCCTACTGAGACACAGATGGGGGCCTCAAGGTAACCTTCTAAAAACTCCATTAACTAAGAATGCATTTAAAACTAAAATACAAAACAAAGTACAAATGAAAGTCATAGGAGCTCCTTAAAAACAAATTACAGGAATAAACTGTAGTTAATTAAGGAAAAACAATTCAGTAAGTTGATTTTGATTAGGGAAATATTTTTATGCAAACTATGCTATTGAAAAGAGTGTTTTGTTTACCATTTTAATCCCATGATTTCAGCCAAAATTTATGTGCCATCTTGACTCAGGGGAGAAAATAGTATCCATTTATTCAACTATGCACTCATTTATTTAACAAATATTTCAGGTATCCATGGGGCTCAGATGACACAAAAAGAGAATTTTGACTCTACACCTTTCACCTTGTCCTCTTTGCATTTTGAGATACTGAGACCTGGTTTCTGCTCCATTATTCCAGCAGAGGCTTTTCAGAGATCATTGGTGACTGCCTACCAATCCTTGTGCTCCTCATCTGGTTGGTCTTCCTGCAGTTTTGAGCATCTTTTGCCTCTTTGAACCATATGCCTTACATTCATTCCTTATTTCTCTGACAACCTATGTCCCATAACTTTAACTGAATTCTCTCCTATATCTTCCCCGCGCCGGCCAAAGCAAGGGTTCTATGAGATTGTCTACTCAGTCCCATTTTCTTCTTTTGCTGTACCTTTCCTTTATTTGAAGGAACTCACCACCAGTTTCGTTTAGCTTCATTGTCTACACCTGAGTGGGTCACGCCTCGCTCTTTCCCCCATTTTTAAACAGTTTCCAAGCTCCTCAACTTAACACATGTATAAGCTTGATTCTCTTCCTCACAAAATGTTTTCCCATTTATTCATGTATTAAACAGATATTTTTTGAGGGACTACTAGCTGCTGGACACTGTTCTCTCTTCTTGTGATATAACAATGAACAAAACTGACAGGTCCCTTGCTCTTCAACAACTTACAGTTCTAAGGGGGCAAACACTAAAAAATAGACAAATAATATGCTGATAGGTACTTTGAAGAGAAATACAATATGGTTGGAGAGATAGGGAATAATGGGAATACTTTTTATATAGGGCGGTCTGAGTCTGAGAAGGTAATATTTGATCAGAAATCTGAAGACTGTGAGGAGGGGATGAGTTCTGTGCGTATAGTAAATAGAAACCAGTTGAGTATTTGAAAGAAGGAAAGCCCAGGGTAATGCGAGGAAACACCTGTGTTGCGACCTTTCAAGGCCTGACAGCTTCATGAGATTTAGGCAAAGGTAAGAACATTCATGGAGCTGTTGGGACACTTGATATGCCTTTATTTACAGATGGGCAAGCCACACACGTTGCAAGCTGCGTGCCCCCCTGCATGTCTCTGCATGTCTCTGCATGTCACTTGTCCCCCAGCATGGTACCCAGCAGGGAGTCCCTAACCCCTTAAACACTAGAACAGACAGAGCCAGCAGGGTGCCAACAGATCTTATGCAACAGAGCTTCACACTACAGCATGTGAGACACTCAAGGCTCTGGGAACAGTTTAGCAGACCCAGTCTCAAGGCTATGAGAACACTGGTTATTGGGCCCATTCTCAGGGTTATGGGAAACTGCTTACCTTAGTTGCCCATACATCTGGGTGAGGAAGCCAGACTGCCTCCGTTTACCCTACAATCTACCCCTTCTGGGTTCCTCAACACACAATCTATGCAATAACTTCCCCAAAGGTCCCTTGGTGACCTTTGGTGCAGGGCTCTGACCTCTGCACCCATAAACCACAACAGCAGTATAGGCTATAGCAACAAGCAACCAAAACATAGGTACTGCCACAGCAGCCATACAGACTACAGCAGTACAGAGCCAAAACACAGGCAATAAGAGCACACCTAGGTACATGGGCCAGTCCAATTCCCAGGCAGGTAAGGCCACCGATATGAGCCACACACCCAGAGGGCTCCAGTAGGAACAGCAGCCTACGCACCATTCCTCGCCTCCCAGCAATGTTCGAGAGTATGTCTCTGAGGCAGACGCACAAAAGTTCAGTTCCCTTGGGCTTGTCCTTGAGGCTTTTAATACAGGGAGGGGAGGGGCTGGCCCAGCCAACCCCATGGTCCCAGCTGTGAGCCAACCCCGAGCCACCCCATATGGAGTGGGGCCGGTCACAGTGCTGCTTTGTACCAGCACAGATTCCAGTCCAGGCTGCATTCCAAACTGGGTGTCCACTGTTTTCTCTATAGACAGAAGCTGGAGAGCTGTGTCATGGGAGGTATCAGATGTGCTCAGGAGGATTTCAGTACAGACCCAGCACATCGATTTGTCAGCCACTGAGGCACAGGCATGGACCCAGTCCACTACACTCCAGGGGCGAAAAGACAGACAGTTACAGGTACCAAAAATGCCAATCACTACCCTCAGGCAATATCCAGGCACATTTCTGGTCCACTGGCAAGATGGTAGCTATCAGAAAGGGCTGCCCCGGGCATGAATACTGCACTTTTCATACCTTAACTGGAAGTTCAGCATCTACTTATAACAGCAATGGAGAACTCATAATGGGCCGTAGAGAAATCACATAGGTGCCACGAATAAGCATTTCATAGTCTGCTGGCTCTGGATAAGTCACCTATAAGACTGGGGGCCAGGTCCCAAACACCCAGGGCACTATTTGCAAGTTTCTCTCCACCTCTTGTCTCCAAGGGGCAACAAGAGCCACCCAATGCATGTAGGGGGATTTTATTTCCCAAGGCCAGGTCCAAGTGGCTGTTTACCCTCACTCCAGGACCTGAAGAAAATATTTCCCTGGTTCTCCGTGCTGGTTTCAACAGAGCATCCTTAGTCTGCACCTGAATGGGAGCTTCAGTCCGGGGAGCAGGGCTTCCACTGGAGCTGCCCCCCACCGACTCCTCTCATTTAGAGTCCAGGGGACAGTCCATAAGCATTTCATCCAACCCCTCAGCGTGGGGATGGCAGCCGCAGTTCAGAGGCCCTGCTTTAAGAGACCATTTTATCGTTCAATCATTCTGGCAGCTTGGAGATGATAGGCCACATGGAATTTCCAATCAATCTGCAAGTCTCAAGCCTATTTTTGTACCAAGACCCCAGTAAAATGTGTCTCCTGATCACTTTCAGTGATTAAGGACCACCCATAAGCAGCACATAACAGCTCCAGTGCAGCATTACTTCTTTCTGATCCGGGTGCTGTGCAGTATACGCAGCTAAAAGTCCTGCCATGTCCACACCTGCAATCGCATACCTATATCCCTCTGAACTAGGTAGGGACCCAATTACATCCACCTGCCACCGGGTCAGCAGTACCCATCCCCTACCACCCGTCCAGTAGTTCCCACAGGCCTCCGGGGATGCTCCCGTGAGCAGAAAACACAGGTCTCACAAGCTTCTTGTACCTCTGTTAAGGTGGCAAGTAATCCCAAATCTTTCTAGTGGCCCACATAGTCTTTTGTCCAGCATGTGAGAGGCAGTGGTATAGCCACTGAGCTATTGCCCTTCCTGAGGGACTGGTAGGTAGCGTTTCTAGCCCCTACACCTTGGCTAGAGTGTGAGCCTCCTCATTCCCATTAGGAACAAGAGGTGCATGTCTAGTAACAGGATATGTGCCTCCTAGAGCACCGCAGGCACCTGGCTCGGCGTGCACGGACTTGACCCGCAGGCACAGCAGTGCACCTACTTGCCCGCGAGCTCCCGGCCTCTTCTCATCAGGGCTCTCAGAGCAGAGCTTTCCAGTGCCTGCGCTGCCTCTGCCGCCTGCGTGGCCAGAGCACCCAGCCTGGCCGAAGTCTTCTAGGCGTCATTTTTGGCAAGTGTGTTCCGTGTCTGTGTGGGGCGAGGGAGGGAAAGGGGACTCTGGGCCACCCAGATT